GGGGGGGGGGGGGGGGGGGGGGGGGGGGGGGGGGGAGTGGCAGAGGTCGGGCGACGCCAGCTGAGCACCTCTCCGATCCCGTCCAAGGATGGCCCAGTCCAGTCCTGCACCCCCCTGGGGAAGCCGTACAATTCTTGCAGGTCGTGTCGGTTGCTTTTCAGCCCGGGTCCGTTTCTGACGGTCCGCGGGCCCGATCACGGCTCCTGGAGGGCAGAAACTGCGAAAACTCGAAGGCGACGAAAACAAACAGTTCGACGATTGAGTCGTGGCATTGTCGGAGGCGAGGGGGCGAGATCGAAGTGGAACAGAGAGCCCCCGACCGGGAAATCGATTTCGTTTTCGGGTTTTTGTCGAGCGTGCGGGCAAGGCGAAACCTCGTGGGCGGGCGAGAAGAATGACCCCCCCTCCAGCTATAGGACGCGGCGAGGGCAGAAATCCGCCGCCCCCTGCCGTAGGGCGCGCGGGTGCCGGGGGTGTCCCGCCGTGGTGTTCCGATGGTGTCCCGTGGTGTCCCGACTGGTGTCCCGACTGGTGCCCCGATGATGTCCTGGTGGTGTTCCGATGGTGTCCCGCGGTGTCCCGCCGTGGTGTCCCGATGGTGTCCCATGGGATCCCGTGGTGTCCCATGGTGTCCCACGGTCTTCCGTGGTGTCCCGTGACGGTGTCCCGTGGGGTCCCGCGGTGTCCCATGGTCCATGGTGACCCGCGGTGTCCCGCCGTGGTGTCCCGAAAGGGTCCCACAATGTCCCGCGGTGTCCCGTGGTGTCCCGTGAAGTTCCGTGAGATCAACAGTGAGGTCGATTGTGAGGTCGATAGTGGGATCGGCTGTGAGATCGATAGTGAGATCGATTGTGAGATCGACAGTAAACTCGAAAGTTAGATCGATAGTGACATCGACAGTAAGATCGGTAGTGGGGGTAACGATGAGAGCAATAGTGAGAGGGATATTGAGACCGATAGTGAGATCGATAGTGAGATCGATAGTGGGACCGATAGTGAAATCGATAGTGAGATCGATCGTGAGATCGATAGTGAGATCGATAGTGAGAGTGAGATCGATAGTGAGGTCGATAGTGAGGAAAGCGAAGCGCAGGCCCCGAGCGGCCCCAGAGGGCGCAAGTCGCCCTGACAGGGCGCGGGCCCCGCGCGGCGCGCGGGGCGATCGAGCGGGAGAGCGCCCGCCGGGCGGCCGCGCCGCAGCGGAGCGCCCCGCGGTCAGATGCCGTCCTCCATCTTCGGCAGGGCTGCGCGGGCGGGGGTGCCGGATTCGAGGATGCCCTACAGCAGAAGCTCGACCACAAGAAACCTTCCACGAGAGACAGAACCCTGAGACCCCAGGATGTTAATTCATGTTTGGTGTGGGGACGTCACGCTTTCCATTGCAAAGCCATGGAAACCCAAGCAACCCAGGGTACCCTGGAAGCAAGCAGGGTGTTTCTTGGCATGGGCTTCCACTGTAGCTGAGCATTGTTTCACCGATCCCACTCCCCATTAGCGTGGCCTGGGCCCCACCGGCCGATCCGGCCCCGTGGATGGGGACGTAGGCGGTTCCCTTCGGGCTTCGAGGGGCCTGTCCCCAACTGGGGTGGTGGGATGGTGGGGCTGAGATGCCATGGCCCACTGGGGATGGGGACAGGTCAAGTGATACCGACAGATGGCGTGGTGACCACACCGCGTGACCACACCGCGTGGTGACTCAGTGCGGGTTGGGGCCGCCGCGCGGTTTTGGGACTCGGGTCGTTCCCCGAAGACGTCTGAGGTGACTGGGGCCTCCTGGGTCCCAACATCGTGCGGTGATGGACCGCGCCTTGAGATCTCCTGGGGGTCCGAAGACACCACGCGATCCGTCACTGCACGGCTTTGGGGCCCCTGAGCGGTGCGGGCCCGACCGGGGCGGCCAGAGGCACACGTCGGCGAATTTTCGCGCGGCCCTCCGCGGAGACAGCGCGATCGACACAGCCACCGTGCCACGTTGAGGAACGACCGATGGGGAGCAGAAGGGCCGAGCTGGCCGCTGCGAGCCCTGGCCACGAGGAGGACGAAGAAGAGGAGGAGGAGAAGGAGGAGGAGGAGGAGAAGGAGGAGAGGAGGAGGGGAGGACGGAGGAGAGGGGGAGAGGGGGGAGGGGGAGGGGGAGGAGGAGGAGGAGATGAGGAGGAGGAGGAGGAGGAGGAGTGAGGAGGAGGAGGAGGAGGAGGAGGAGGAGAGGAGGAGGAGGAGAAAGAGGAGGAGGAGGAGGAGGGGGTAGGAGGAGGAGGAGGAGGAGGAGGAGGGGAGGAGGAGGAGGGAGGAGAGGAGGAGGAGGAGGGGGAGGGGGAGGTGGAGGGGGAAGAGGAGGAGGAGGAGGAGGAAGCGGAGGAGGAGGAGGAGGCGGAGCAGGTTCCCCAGCCTTGGTCTGAGGAGCGGCCCCGAGCCCCGAAAGCAGGGCCTATCCTGCACACGGACTGGTCCTCGTCTCAGCGTGCGGGCTGTCCACACGCCGGGGGGCCAGCGTGCCTGGCCGTGCGGGGGTGCCGGTCGCCACGAGGGTTCCCGGCCGCGTGCGTGTCGAGCTCTCGCCCAGACGGGCCACGTCGTACGGAAGCCCTGGCAGACGAGTGGGCTCCTCGGGCGGGTCCCGCTTCCCTTCACTGAGCATTTTCTTAGGGTGATGGGCTCAGGGTGAAATCCATCTGGGCTTTGCACCTCGAAAAACCAATCCGTCTTGTGATTCACTTTTTTCAGATTCGAACCTCGAACATCCATCGAAACGGCATTTCAGATTTCACCCTTTGCCATCCACCCAAAGCAAATGCTCGGCTTCAACTCATCATTCCTCCAAATTCCCCCGTCGCTTCCCAGGCGAGGCTACTAAGCGGCGTAGGCGACTGCCGCCCGAGCCTGCGCTTTGTAGGTTAACGGCTGGTCAAACCAAGCGCACCGGAAAATTACATAAGCACATGACACCCCTGCGTCAGATTGCCCTGAACGACTTAGTGGGGGCCACCGAATTTGGTACCCAGGTTCTTTCACCGGGCGTGAGAAATGCAACACCCTTGTGTACAAGGTGCGTAGGGACTGGCCGCAACATCATCAACACCATCATCTTCACGTTATCATCCCCGCCCCCCCCCAAACAAATGGTTCCCCATTGTCGTCGTCCAGTGGGGGGAGGAAGAATGGGGAAAGTGGGGAAACATATGGGGGAAGGACCGACGAAAAACGGCACTTGAGTGGTCGGCGGTTGCCCGTCCTCGTACACAGCGACCAGATCATGACGATGCGCGGTACGGGTGCGAAATCGACGTCCAAATTGAAAGCATACTTGGTAACCCATAGCTGGTGGCTAATGACCAAGGTTGGAAAAAATGCAACGGTAAACCTTCGGGGAAATAGTTCGTTCCGACAGCCTTCAACAACATTACATTTTAAACTCGAAAACGGCTCGAACCCCCTTCAATGTCGGCCCCTCTATGACGAAGGAACCCGACGCATGTTCTGGAGGGGTGCGACCCAAAAACTCCATGCTGGCCGGCATTGGATGGGCGGCGCTTGCAAAACTTCGCACCCGTTGACATCCAATATCATCAAACCACATGCGCAAATACCGCACGTGGTTTGCCCGATGAGTTGCGCGCTGGCCTCTGGCACCGAGTGGACCCTTTTCAACGTTGGACGGTTACGACGTTTCGGAAATTCAGATCGTGCACGTCGTCCGACTGTGGACCGCTGGCGTCGTCCAACCTTGAACGCCCGCGCTGGGGTCGCTGCCGCGTCGACTCGACGCGAACATACCTTAATATGCGTGACGCATGTTTGAACTGAATTTTGTCGACGGTTGTGTGGTGCGGTTTGACAGTCGGTTGGGGCGCTCGTTTAAATTCTCCATCCAAGCATGGTGCTCCGCGCGGTCACAATCACCGCAAGTGGCGCGCGATGCCGACCCACACCCACGCAGGGCGTAGGGGCAGCGTGCTGGTCGGCATCGGGAGCAAGTTTCGCCCGTGCGCCACCGGATACATGGACGTGCGGAATCGTTCGTGCGTGTGCGAGCAAAGCACGCGCGTGCTCATGCACGCAACCACCCGCGTGCCCACGCGCACACATATAACAACGCACGCACGCACACACGTACACACGCACGCACGCATACATACACACAACAACCACAACAACAACAGCAGCAGCAAAAACAACAGCAACACTAACAGCAACAATAACAGCAACAACAACAACAACAAACACAACAGCGACAACACCACCACCAACAACAACAACCACAACAATAACAAACACAACCACAACAACAACCACAACAGCAGCAACAACAACAAACGCACACAATACACTCAGACACACAAACACACAGACACACAGACACACAGACACACTCACTCTCTCCCTCTCACACACACACTGTCTCTCGCACGCACGCGCACTCATGCACGCAACTGGGCAACATCAAGACTTCAATGCTTTACTTCCGCCGGCTTCCGCTGAACAAGCTTCCGCCGGCTTCCGCCGAGGAAAAGGCTGTGGCATCTTGGAGACCAGCACGGCACACCTGGGAGCAATCTTTCTCACCCTGCTGAAGGTCACGGGTGGTAGAACAGGTGCGAGGGGAGTCAGGATGAGGAAGGGGGCGCAAGGGAGAGAGGGATGAGGGCAAGGGAGAATAGGAGAGGGTAGGGAAGGAGCTCATACGTAAGGGCAAGGGAGTAGAATAGTGAGGGGGCACAGAGCTGAAAACGAGGAGTGGAGGGCGCGGAGGAGGGCAAGTGGAGGGGTGAAAAAGCCTGGCGATACCAAGGCGATTGGGGACAAGGGAGGGGGAGGAAGGGTCAAGGGGAGGGGAGCGGAATGGAAGGGCGGAGGCGACGCAGCGAATCGGACCTGAATGGAGGCTACCCGTCTTCACGCTGTCCCTGCTGGGCCCGTGCTCGAGCATCCATCTCGCGTGCTTGCCTGGCGCTGTATCTTCATCCGATTGCCTGCAGAGGAAGAAGAGGGGTGCAAGGAAAGCATCGAGCCGTGCAAGGGGTCCCGACCATCCCAGGTGCCACGAAGAAACAAGCAAACCACAGCATGGTGGTAGAAACGCCTGCCTGCGTGGAACCGTTGAGATGTCCGAGCCCCCCTGGAGAGAGCATGCGCGACATAATGCCCCTATAGCCCCCGACCTCTTCCACCTGGCCGCCGAAGTCGGCCAAACTCTCATGCTGCCCCCCCGGTTTTGCCTTTACCTCCTCCTGCGGCCTGCTCCTCCTGCCTGTCTGCCCGCGATCGGCCGTGGGAAAACGACCCCGGATGTCGCAACGCGCGCACGGAAAAGGCATGAACGAACAAGGAACAATAAGGGGGACGGAAGAAGGAAAGGAATCGGACCCTGTGGCAAACCGTGACAGCTTCCTGTCCCGGGAACGCCGCATACGGGCCCAACGCCGAAAGGAGTGGGGCCATGTCGGAACCAGGGGACTTCTGTATTCTTTTTCCTTGGCGCAGCGCCAGGGCCAAGTGCACCTCTTCCTCCGCCTCCTCCTCCTCCTGCTCCTCCTCCTCCTCCTCCTCCTCCTCCTCCTCCTCCTCCTCCTCCTCTCCTCCTCTCCCCATTCTCTCTCCTCTGCTCCTAAGGCTCTGGCCTGCGTCTAACCTGGAAGCGCCTGCTCACCTCGGGGGCGGGGGGGAAAGGGGAGCATGGGGGGTGCGACCAATGTGTCCGCTGCGAAACAAAGATTTGTCTGGTCGCCCTGGGGCCTGGAGACCGACCACCGACGCCGAACCGGCGAAACAGATACAGGTACGACGTGGAAAGATACGACGCATCCTCCCAGGGCCCACACGAACCTCGCAGGGCCCCCGACAAATCCACGCGAGGCCCCTGAGAGATCCACGCAGGGCCCCTGGGGGGCCCTTGCAAGATTCCCGAGAGAGACCCTTTCAGGACCCTTGAGGATCCTCGCAGGCCCCCCCCGGAGATCTTTGCAAGATCCTCCGGAGACCGTTCCAGGGCTTCTGAACTGAGAGATCCTTCGAGGACCCTCGAGAGATCATTCCAGGAGCCCTGGGGGTCCGCGCAGGATCCCTGGGAGACCCTTACAGGGTCCCCGAGGGGTCCTTGCGGAATTTCTGAGAGGCCCTTCCTCTCTCTCGCTCTCTCTCGCTCTCTCTCTCTCTCTCTCTCTGTCTCTCTCTCTCTCTGTCTCTCTCTCTCTCTCTCTCTCTCTCTCTCTCTCTTGGGGAAACCAAGAAGTACCGATTGGGGAAACCAAGAAGCACCGATACCGCTACTCCCCGGACTTCTCCTGGGGTGCGTTCTGGCCCGAATTCCGAGGCGAATCCAGCGGTGACGACGAGGGCCTTCCAGGAGGCCCAGACAAGGGGAACACGGGCGAAGGGTAGCGGTATCGGCACCTTTTCCTTCTCTGATCTCTCCTTCCCTTCCTCCCTCCCTCCCTCCCTGCCTCACCCAGCGGCCGCCTGGCGCAGGCCCCGCGCCGCTGGGCCGCGCCGTCGGCGTGCGCTCGCCGCGTGGCCGACGCTGGGCGCGCTCGCGCCACGCGCCGCCGGCCGGCGCCGCGCCGAGGAGGCGGCCCGCGGGGCCTCCGCTCCGCCGAGCGCACGCGGCAGAACCCCCGCAGAGAGAAGGCTCCGAGCCGTCTTCGCCCGTGCGCGGCGCCGCGCCCGCCCCTCGGAGGCGGCGGCGGCGGCGGCGCGGAGGCAGAGGCGGCGACGCGGCGGGCCGCGCGGCGCTTCGGCCCTCGGAGGCTCGTCCCGAGCGCGGGGGGCGGCCGCAGGCCGCTGCGGCGGGCCGCCCGCCGCTGACGTCACCAGAAGGGCAAAGAACGGCACAACCATAAACCGTTGACGGTCCGCGCGGAGTTCTTGGGTCCGCGCTGGACCCCCCCCATCCCTGGCGCGCGGAGCGCGCCAACGGGGGGCGCCGGAGGCGCCGCCAGGGGGGCCCAGCGCCGATCCAAGACATCCGCGCGGAGCGCCGAAAGTCTATGTTTACGCCGTCTTTCCTTCTTCGAGTCCAGAGGCCTTCTAGATGGGGTCGGAGAAGATGGGGTCGGAGGATCGCGCCGCATCGGCGCCGCATCGGCGATGCATCGGCGATGCATCGGCGATGCACCAGCGATGCATCTTCGACGTCGGCGGTGCATCGGCGACGTCGGCGTGAAGGAAGTCAGGCTCCGCATCGAGCCGCACCGCCGATGCATCGGTGATGCGGCGCGATCCTCCGACCCCCTATCTACCCTGGCCCCACCTGGGAGGCCTACAGCCGTCCTGCTGCCTTAAGGAACGCATAGTACGGAACGAAGGGGCTCTTCTGGCCAGGGCGGGCCTTGGCCACGAACAGGTCCCACGGCTCAGATCCAAGGAGCGGCCCGAGAACCCGAGCCCCTCCTCGGCCTGAAGCGGCCCTCCCTTCCGCGCCTTGACTGTGGGAGGACGGGCTCGAGGGAGGTGCCGAGCCGCGCTGGGGGCGGAGGGCCTCCTCGGGCCCCTCCCTGACCCGAGCCCCTCCTCGGCCTCAAGCGGCCCTCCCTTCCGCGCCTCGACTGTGGAGAGTCACGGCCCGACCCGCCGCCGCGGAGGACGGGCCTCGGAGGGAGGCGCCGAGCCGCGCCGGGGGCGGAGGGCCTCGCCGCGCTGCCTCGCCGCCGCGGCCCTGGGCGGCGAGGGCCTCCCCGCCGCCCTCGGCCCCGGCGCGCGGGCGCGCCTCCGCCACGGGGGCCCTCCCGTCGCACGGGCGTGGCAGGGCCTCCAGCCGCCGCGGCGCGGGCGACCTTCCGCCGCCCCGCCCAGGGGCACGCTCCTGGACCTCCTGGCAGGGATCGGCCTCAGCAGTGCCTGCTGATGTTGGCTTCTGTGTTCGTCGTCCCGCCTTCTCGTCTTCCATCCGCCTCTCTGCTGCACAGCGACGTCGAAACGGAAACGGCCCACGGAGTCGCCCAAACACCGTTTAGGTCGACCCCTGCTTCCTGGAGCCGCTGGTGCTGGCGGGAGGCGGTGGCAGTGGGGAGCGGCGGCAGGGGCCTGGGCCGTTTGGCGGCCAGGGCGCCGTCCCTCCTCACTCCCTGCTCGTGGTGCTCGTCTTCGGTGGGGACCTCTCCGCGCCCTTCTGATTCCCGCGGGGCGTTCTAGTCGGCGGACGCGCTCTCGGTGGTCCTCGCCCCTCGCTCCTCCTCCCTCCCTCCCACCCTCTTCCCTCCTCCTCCTTTTCATCCTCCCTCCTCCCTCCTTTCCTCCCTCTCGCCCCTTCCCTCCCTCCCCCTCTTCTCCCCCCCCTCTCTCCCTCTCTATCTGCCTCTTCCCCTCTCGTCACTCTCTTCTCTCTATCCCGTCCTGGTCGCCCCTTCTCCTCCCTCCCTCCCTTCCCTCCTCCCCCCCTCCTCCCTCGTTTCCGCGAGCGGCCCCGAGCGTAAGGGAGCTGGAGTCCGCAGCCACAACGGCTTGAGCCTCTCGGGGGGGGGGGAGGCGGAGGCCTGGCTCGTGCATGTTGGAGTCGTGCAGGCCCCCGTCGCCGCCGCCCTTGACGGGCACGCCCTCCTGGGGGGGATGGAGGGCGAGAGAGTGGCGAGGGAGGGGGAGGATGGCGGGAGGGTGGAGGTGGAGGAGGGCAGGGAGATGAGGACGCGATGATCAAGATGACGATGACGATGGCAATAACGATAGCGATAACGATGGTGATGATAACGATGATGGTGATGGTGATGATGACGATGACGAAAACGATGACGATGATGATGATGATGCTGATGATGATGACGATGACAATGATGATGACACCGCCGGCAAAAAGGATGATGATGCTAATGCTGATGCTGCTGCTGATGATGGTGATGATAATGCTGATGATGATGATGATGAAGCTGCTGATGATTGTGATGGTGACGATGGTGATGAAGGTGATGATGTTGATCATGGTAATGCTGATAATGGCTGGTGGTCGTGATGATGATCATGACGATGATGATGCTGAGTGATAAGATGTGTGCAGCTTGTGATGGTGATGATGACGATGTGATGCTGATAGTGATAATGGTGTTGATGATGGTGATGGTAATGTTGATCTTGATATGGTGACAGTGATAATGATAATGATGATGATGATGATGATGATGATAATGATGATATTGAGGATAATGGTGGAGATGCTGATATGATGGTGATGGTGGTGGTGGTGATGATGATGCTGATGGTGATTATGATGCTGATGATGCTTATGATGGTAATGGTGATGGTAATAATGATGGTGATACTGATTCTGATGATGCTGGTGATGATGATGTCGATGCTGATGTTGATAAGGATGATGGTGATGATGATGATGATGATGATGATAATGGTAATGGTGCTGGTGATGCTGATGCTGACGGTGACGATGGTGACGATGATGATGATAAGGATGATGATGATGATAATGATGATGGCGACGATGATGATGATGATGCTGCTGCTGATGATGATAATGGTGATGATGATGATGATGGTGATGATGATGATGATGATGATCATCATCATCATCATGTTGATGCTGATGCTGATGCTGATGCTGATGCTGATGCTGATGATGATGATGATGATGATGATGATGATGATGATGATGATGATGATGATGATGATGATGATGATGATGCAGATGACGATGTTGACGGCAACAACATTTACGATCGTGCAGCTTCGATTCGTGAAGGCTCCGCGCGGGCGCTTGCCCTTAGCATGGGCACCCTCCTAGGAGGGCGGTGCGACACCGCCTGAGGGTCCTCTCCTCGTTTTCGGCCTCTGGGGCTCCGTTTCTGGGGCCCGCTTCGGTCGGCTATGCCACGCGGAGTGGACAGTGAACCCGCACCAAGGGTCACTCCAGCGAAGAGTTACTCATACGTCTAGTCGATTCGGGCCCCTCGGGCGGTCAAAAATCTGCCTCGGGTGGGGGAAACAGCCAGGACGGACTCTCCGTGGGAGGGGTCCAGGGGCAGATTCTGGGCAGGTTTTTGGGGGGGAGAGGGCGGGCATGCATTCCTCGTGAAGGCGCTAAGCTTTGCCCTCGGCCCTCGAGGGTGACGGGGGAGGCTTGCGAGCGGTCTCGGAATGAAGTTCTACGCAAGGCCCAAATCCGAAGACCTCCGGGGAGCAGGATGCGGGGCGGGAGCAAAACACACTGCCTGGGGAGGCGAGGCGTTCCTCGTCGTCGCCGTCTTTGCCGTCGTCCTCCTCCTCCCCCTCCCCCACCGCCTCCCCTCTTTCCTTCTCCCGCGCGCCCTCCTCCTGAAGGGGGGTAGTACGTTTGAGGATGAGGGCCAGGAAACAGACAATCGGATTGGACGACAGGGGGAGGGGGAGAATTTTAGCGCCTCGGCTGCACGCAACCGTTTCTCCCTGCGATGGAGGCGCCAGGATCGACCACCTGTCGAGGATTGTGGCCAACGCCGGGGCCGAATCTAAAGGGGCCCAGGGACACGCAGATAAATGTATGCAAATCCGAGGATTCCCCATACACTCCCATACTTTCTAGGTTTTCGTCTTCCCCTCCAATTCCAATATTTTCCATAGTTTCCTGAGAGTCGACGATTAATTGTGTCTGTGTGCTTCTTTCACTCCTTGGAAACCAGCTGCGCAACAGATCGCCGAGACCCACTTTCTAAAAGACCGAACATACAAGGGCTTTTGCTCGCTTATGCCACACTTCTCCTGTGCTGCTTCAGTAGCTACTCACACATAGTATGGGAAGTCTGCATTGTTGCGTTTGACGTTCACATGGCGTTTTTTTGCAACAAACCCTAAGTCACGTCCTCCAAAATACAGCTGGGTCAGCTGACCTTTGCCGACTTCGGCGCGCCCTGAATTCGTGAATCAAACGCTTTGATCCAAGTGCTGCACTTCGCGTTCCGACGGCCCAGGTGGCGCCGTGGAGACCTCATGCAAAAATCTCATTCACAACTGCAGGTTGCAACATTCTTCACAATTGACCACCGTCGCCGTCGTTCAAGAAACCATCGCTGCACATCTCCGCATTGACCGGATCTGGAAGACCCAGAGGTCCGGTATATTTTCTCGTGTTGCGCTGCCCCGGGAGATCCCGCGCGCCCTCCCCAGTGCTGGCTTTGCGTTGACGGTCCTGGGCCGGCGAGGGCCCGCAGAGGTCGCAAGCGAGGAAAAAAACTGCCGCCTCGTTAAGACGTCAGATGTCTGGTTCTCAGGCCACACCTCGGGCCTCTGGCGACAAGTGGGGACAACTCGGGCGCCCTGGGGAGAAGCATCCCGAAGCGAGAAGACCGCCAGGGACCGACGAGAACGTCCGAAAACCAACGAGTGCACTCGTCGTCGTCGTCGTCGCGCTGCCGCCGTCGCCGTCGTCGCCGTCGTCGTCGGAGACGCGCCCCTCGAAGCGGCAGCGGCAAGGCGGCGCCCTCGGCGGCCCAAACAGCGGCGGGCGGCCCCGCGTCCCAGAGCTGCGGCAGCTCGCCGCGCAGGAAACCGACGACGAGGCCTGTGCCGAGTGTGCCCGGCACCAGGTAGAGCAGGGCCTCGCCGCGCGCGCGCAGGACGACGTCTTCGTCTCCTCCTCCTCCTCCTCCTCCTCCTCCTCCTCCTCCTCCTCCTCCTCTTCCTCCTCCTCCTCCTCCTCCTCCTCCTCCTCCTTCCTCCACCTATCCTTATTCCTTATTAGAATATACTCCTACTCCCCCCTCAGGCCGGACATTAGGGGCCGCATCCGGGGGGCCCCATCCTAACCTGTAAAAAACAATATAAAATCAACATTTTTCTTATTTTTTCCTCTCGACATGGACGTCCTGTCGTCCACGGCGATAATCCATTGCAAAAAATACCACAAAGAGCACACGCGCGCGTTCATGTCAGAATCCTACCGAACACAATGTGTTTGCAAGCATTTCAACATAAAAACATCAAAAACCCAATGCTTTTTCACAAAAATTGTACAAATTTCCCGCCCGGGCTCTCTTGCTGAAATCATAGGAAAACCATAGGAATCTTAAGAATTCTGTCAAATCCAGCGATTTCACGTCATCGCGCGGTGCACTCGCGATGCTCTGTCATGCACCCAGGCCGCGAATCCTGTGCAAAAAATACCACAAAGAGCACACTCGCGCGTTCATGTCAGAATCCTACCGAACACCGTGTGTTTGCAAGCATTTCAACATAAAAACATCAAAAACCCAATGCTTTTTCACAAAAATGCTTTGGGGTGTCCTGTCAGACCGTCGGGCTTCCTCCGGCCACCTCTGGCTTCCTGCGGTGTACCAGGCCATTCTCGACTCGTCTGGCAATGCGTGCGCGGCATTCAACACGCGCTCGCCAGTTCCCGTCGGCAACCGCCATCGCGGCCGCATCAGCTGTACCAAACCGGCTGGCCGGTGTGACTTCGGCCCCCAGTTGTGCCAGCTTTGCTTCTTATGTTGTGGGAGGGCGGGTGGGACTGGGCATGCCATGCTTGACTCGCTCGAGCTGGCTAGCTTGACCTCCTCTCCTACTCCTCCTCCCCCCCCACCTTCTCCTCCTCCTAGCTTCCTCTCCTCCTCCTCTCCTCCTCCTCCTCCTCCTCCTCCTGACTACTCCTTCTGCTGGCTCCTCCTCATCCTCCTGCCCCTCCTCTCCTCCTCCTCCTCCTTCCTCCTCCTCCTCCTCCTCCTCTCCGGCCTACGTCTCCCCTCCTTCTCTCCGCGAAGTTCACGCTCTGGTGGCTGCCGGAGGTCGGTTCTCTGGGTTCGCCAAAAAGTCGTCGGTGTTCAAGAAGCCGAGGTTCTTTGTGGTGTCCCGATCCCCTGATCCTTCCTCTCCTCTCCCGCTCCCTCATCCTCATCCTCCCTACTCCTCCTCCTCTTCCTCCTCCTCCTCTCCTCTTCTTCCTCTCCCCTTCCTCCTCCTCTCCTCATACTCCACCTCATTCATCCTCCTGCACACCGTCATCCTACTCCACCACCCCCACTCTCTCCTCGTTATCCTCTCCTCCTCCTCCTCTCCTCTGCTCCTCCTCCTCCTCCTCCTCCTCCTCTTCCTCCTCCTCCTCTTCTGCCTCCCACTCCACCTCCTTCTCGTCTTCCTTCTCCTCCTCCTCCTCCTCCTCCTCCTCCTCCTCGTCCTCCGCAATCGCACAATATGAAGACTACTCTCATCTCTCCCCTGATGACGTCCGGAAGATATTCGGCCACCCGCCGCGTATTGTTTTTTACACACAAGCTTCCTGGGAGTTGGGTTTCGCTGGTTTTTGCAAAATGTTGTTCCCGCTGAAGCGCTGGCCTCATGTTCGGGCTTCCGCTCATTCCGACTCGTGCTCCCGCTGCAGCCCTGGCCTCATTCCCGGGCTTCCGCTCGTTCCGAATCGTGCTCCCGCTGCGAAGCTGGCCTAATTTCTGCGCTTCCGTTCGTTCCGACTCGTGCTCCCGCTGCAGCGTTGGCGTCATTGTTTCCAGTGCCATGCCACGGCATGCAGTACAATGCTATGTGGTGTTCCGATGTGCGATGCCATGCCTTTAGCTGCAATGCTAGGACATGCAATGCTTGACTACGCAGTGCTACGCTATGCTATGCCATGCTACGCTTTGATATTCAACGCCATGTTATGCCATGTTCTGGTATGTGCTGCTGTGCGATGCTATCATTTGCGTTGCAACGCTTTGTGATGCAATTCTTCACTACGCAACGTCACGCCATGCTATGACATACTATGCTCTGCCGTGCTCTTCTACGCCATGCTACGCCGTGCTCTACGATGCATCGCGCACCCTCTCGGGATCATTACCCTGCTCGACATCCGACTGTGCGAATCGAGAGGAGATCTACGCCATAATAAGGGATGGGAGGGACGGGCAGGACGTCAGATATGACGCGGGTGCACCTAGCTTGTCCTCCTCCCCCTCCTCTGCCTCCCATTTCCCCTCCTTCTCCCCTCCCTCCGCGGCGTCGACGACGACGGCGATACATCCGCCTTGGATTTGGAATTTGGGAGGGTGCCCGGCACCGACCACAGCAAGGCCTTGCCCCACCGAGCTCGTCGGCGACAAGCAGATCCGTCTCCCAGGCCTCGCGGGCGAAGCCCCCCGGGTCGCGACCCCGCGGACACGGCAGCTTTCTTCGCGGACGCCCCGCGCGGAACGTGTCCGTGCGTCCGCGCATCCGCGGCATCGCGCCCCAGAATCCCAGACCGCGATAGGGACACCTTCGCCGCCCGCGGGGCGCGCGCCCGTTCGCGCCCCTCACGCCGCGGGCACGGCGCGCGCGCCCTCCTGCAGCGCGGCGGCCATGCGGCCGCAGGCCTCGAAGCCGTCGCGCCCGAGCTCGCCGCCGGGGCCGCCGCCGCTCGCGAGCGCGTCGTCGAAGAGCCGGGCGCAGGACTGCGGGGGCGGCCTCGGCGGCGGCAGCGGCACGGGCATCGGCTCCGGACGTCTGCTCTCGGAGGCGACCAGCGAGCCACCGTCACCGGCAGCCCCTCGGGGTGGGGCCGGCCCCTGGGCGGGGGCACGCCCGAGCGCCGTCCTGTGCTGGGTGACGCTCGGGCGCGCCACCGCCCAGGGCTCGGCCTCCCACCGACGGGCTCTCGGTGGCGGTGGTCCCTGCTTCTCCTCCGACAGTCGGGTCGGAACGGGCCGCGGGTCGGGCCGCCATCGGCATGGAGTCGGACGCTGATCGACTCGACCGCGCCAGGATGCAGAGCAGCGCCACGCAAACACCGGGCCGCAGCGGGCCGTTGGCATGTCGGATTCGAGTCGGGTCAGGCCGCCCAGAATCGGTAACGCTTTTTTCGTCAGCGGTGAGGCGGCGAAATCCGCACCAGCGTGAAGCTAGATAGGGGCACTAACTGGCGAATTGGCCGGCAAGCGGAGAGGGAAGGGGGACGGCCGAGGGGAAGGAGGGACGCTCAGACGCCGAGGCGTTCGACAAGACTCGGTAGCACATCGAACTGGTGCTGACAAAACCACAGAGCAGAGGCGCGCCTCGGCCACGAGTTCCCTTCCCCGGCCGATCGACCCGAAGAGCGGCCCGAAGACCGGAGCCCCTCCCGAGCCCGCCCGAAGCGGTCCTTCTGTCAGCGTCTCTGATGGACCAGAGGGCGGCCCCCAGCCCTGACCCGAGCATGTTCTGAGGGTGGGGGGCTCAGGGTGAAATCCATATGGGCTTTTTGTACCTCGAAAATCAATCCGCCTTGTGATTCACCTTTTGCAGATTCAGGCCTCGAACATCCATCGGAACGGCATTTCAGAATTCACCCCTTGCCCTCCACCCACAGAAACTCGGTAACCCTTTGGGAGAGGACCTAAGTTAGGAGGGCCAGGACCTTCAGATATAGGGGGACATGTTCTGCAGGTGTATCGAACCAAACTGCCCAGAATCATGATCCCTCATGCGAAGACGGGGACCTCAGCGAGGCTGCGTCTTCATCATGTTATTCGGGTTAAGGGCTCAGTCATCCTCATTGATACAGGCCTCGGAAAAAACGGCGAATACTCATGCCACATTCATCTGTCAACGCCTCCCCCTCCCCCCAATGTTCAAAGTTGGCGGTGAATCTGATGAGTTGAATCCCGACCGCAATCTCCCTCGCGCGTGCCAACTTTGAGTTTGCGGGGGGCGGGGGAATGGTCAATCATTGCTTCCCTCTACCGTGGGCCCGGCCTCGGCGTCATCCAGCCCGAGCAGTAGGCCAACCACTCGTGGCGCGAGACGGAGCCGCTGCCGTCGCGGTCCACGGACTCGAACGCGGCGCCGAGGCCAGCGAGGACCCGCCCCGCGAGGGGCTGCCCCCGCTCGAACTCCTCTTGCGAGCGGCGGCCGTGTCCATTCGAGGACGGACAGAACCCCCTGTAGCAAAACGTGGTTTAGTGAAACCGACCTCGGGCCCAAACCTGGCGGGCGCAAGCCTGGAAAATGACGGCCGCGGCGCCCTCTCGAGAACCGAACACGGACAATTCACTAATCGACGTGTCAGGGTGGGGCTTCTGTCCACCCCCGATCCATATCCACGCCCTCGCAGTCTGCACTCCGGGGCGCGATCCCGCGGATAAAGAAGGCCCGTACCATAAGGATGCGCGATAGGGATGCATTGGCCTTGGACGCCCACTCCGAAGCATCTCGAGCAGGTCGCGGCAAACGAAAGTGGCCCAGGATGGAGCGAGGAGGCAAGGATGCAAGGGTACCGTACCCTTGAGAAAGTTGCCCATCCTTGCTACGCGGGTTGGCTGTACGCGGTCGCGCGGACATGTACCGCGCTGGGCACCCCGCGACAAAAACGCCCCGCATCCGCGGGGTCGCGGCCTGGGGGGCTTCGCCCGCGAGGCCGTGGATCCGGATACGCGCCTTTCGCCCACGACGCCTGCTCGGACAACGTGCGGCTGCCGTCCTTCGAGGAAGCACACGGAGCAGAAACACAGGCCATCGGAGGTCGACGCGGATTTCTTCGATACGCGGTGGACTACTTCTTTCCCTTTTTATGTTTGGTGTTTAATAATTACTGTTGTTTTTGCTCGAGTTACTGTTAGTATTACGAATAGTCTTAATAGTGGTTTTATTAAGAATAATATTATATCGTAATACTGATGTTGTTACAGTTATCATTTTTCTTATCCTGAACATTAATACTGTGATTACTAGTATTAGTAGTGTCATCCGTACTACTATACTATCATAAGTACTCGTAGTAGTATCATTCGTACTTTTGTTAATTGCATGCTTAATGGTAATAGTATCACGAATAATCAGATCTGTATGAATATTCATAGTGCTGTAGTTTAGATTCGTATTAGCAATATTCCTACTACCATGTTTACAACTACTAAGATTCGTATTACTATTTCTACCCTTCCGTATTGCATGGGTACGTTGTTGAATGCTGCGCTGGAGAAACACCTTCTATCCGCGCTGTACTCCCCGGGTTGGCGCCTCTGGCGCCGGGCCCCAGAGCGCGAGAAGCGCGCCAGGGAGCCCGCGCGGACCTCCGAAAGTTCATGCTCGTGTCTGTAATGTTTCCTCCTGCGAGTCCTCGTCGAACATGTCGAAAATGTTCCGTATCTCGCCGTACGGCACGCCGTTCTTCACGCTCCAGGTGGCCGCCTCGTCCTCCGTCACGACCCCGTCCCTCTCCACGCAGTCGAGGTCCTGGAAGGTCGGCCCGGCCTCGCGCATGGCCGCCTCGGCGATGGAGTCCCCGCCGTCGCACTCGTAGCGGGAGAAGAACAGGTAGCTGCAGCCCCCGACCTCGGCCTGGCCCGCCGCGGTGCCGTCGCCCACGACGCTCTGCAGGCGGGCCCGGCCGCTGGGGCAGACCGCAGCGGGCACCTCCACGGACTCCCTGCACCTGAGCGACAAAAACAAGGCTACGGGATCTTAACATGCGTATCAGCTACCCCAGGCATGGCCCCCACTCTTGGCCCAGGAGCGGTGCATACGCCCTTCTGGCTCTGCTCGGAATGCTTATGCCCCGCTCCTGGGCCCAGGATGGGCCAGACCAGGGGCAGTGGATGTGTATAGATCTCGTCGCCCTGGAGAGTGAAGAGGTCTCGTGCGCGATGTCACAGCGACCTGACGCGGTGGCTTACGCATGCCGCCAGCGTGGCACACCGCGTTGCGAAGAGGGCGCTTACTACGCGCGACCCTACGCGGGAAGCTTATGCGCAGATGGCCGCGCAGTCGGCCCCCTCTTTCTCGGCTGCACGCACGGGTGACCCTGGGCAAGAGTGGCCATGAGTGCGCAGCTCTAGGGGGCCGCGAAAGGGGAAAATCCAAACGCACAGGCTACGTACTGCTGTCGCATCAACTTCCGCGATCGGCAGACCACAATGAGCCCGCACGAAAGGTCATTCTGGCGAAGGGCCGCTCTTGCGTACGCGTAGCAGATCTCTCGGCGTCGCCCACCTGAGGGCCGAAAGATTGTCGCCGCACCAGGCCGAGTTGTGCGACGCGCCGGCCTCGCCCGCGCCGCAGGAGCCGCCGCGCCGGAAGGCCGTCAGCTGCGCGGCCCGGCACGGGTCGGGGGGGCGGCCGCGCCGCAGGCCGCCCTTGGAGATTGCGGCGACACTGGCGGTGGGGATGCTCGGCAGCCTTCGGCTGCACGGAGGAGCGACCCCAAGTGACAAGCACCTCTGGTGCGCGGCTTCCGGGGTGCTCGCGGGGACCAGGCCCAGGCGCGCAGGCCGCTGCTGTCGCAACGCATTCCACGATCGGGGGGATTCCAGCGGGCCCGCACCAGAGGTCACTTCGGCAAGAGGTCGCTCCTACGCGCAGCCGACAGCCTCCGGAGCAGCGGCTGGGGCGCGGCGCCCGGCGCGGCCGCGGGGCTCAGCTCGGCGGCGAGGGCGCCATGGGGCTTCAATGATGGCGGGGCGCACAGCAGGAGTGCGAGTAGCAGCGGCGTGACTTGGGTCCTGATGCTGTGCATCATCCTTGAGCCACGAGGGGCGGATGGATGGGGGTCGTGGAGAAACAGGCCATGCAGGCATCCGACGCCTTGCGGTTTTTTATGTGTATGAACAGGAACAGGTATATAACGATGTATAATATGTGAGTGCGTATGTATGTATATGTATATATACGTGTATATGTGTATGTTGTCGTTTGCGTGTGTGCATATGTATGTGTAAATGCATATTACCTAGATGTATACATGTATATGTATAGGTGTATGTCGCTGTGCATGTATATGTGTATGTACGTGCTTATGTGCATGAGTATGTAGGAGGGTATTCATATGTATACGTATGCAACTGTACATAGGTATAAACAATACTGTCCATACATGTTCACATACGTACGCAAGGAACTCTGGGAAGTGCTGACCCTTTCCCCATGACCAACTTTACATCCCAGGTAGTTTTTTCTTCCAGGGTCTCAAAGCCTGGCAAGAGCCCCAGAGAGCAAAACCCGTCAAAAACTCATGCCGTAATTGTTCCGAGGTGTACGTGTAGAAGTCGTGGACAAACCGGCCACGGCGCCGTAGGCCCTCGGGTGGCCGGCGGCGAGGAGGCCCCCGACGGCGGCGTGCGCGACGGCACAACGTGGGGATTACGTATGTCGACCCCGATTTGTTCAGACAGTGCTTGCACTTAGAGCCTCTTTTCTAGATTCAGGCAAGTTTACTTGCATGGCGTTCGCCCCTCCCCCCCCCTCTTCAAACGAATACTAGCGTGCAAGTGCCTTTCGACTTGCGTGACTTCCGCACGTGCAAGTCGTTTGCGGCTTGCTTCAGGTTCAGGCCCCCCCCGTCCGTCCATGTAAGTAAACTCGCCGGAGTCTCGCACAAAAACAGGCTCTTAGGCCCGTCAATTGGCCCCGCGGCTCCCCGTCCGTCGGCGCAAAAAAACTCGTTTGTTGGCCTGGTGGCCCCGTTCCCGTCCGTCGCCTCTCTATTGTTTCCCATAGTGATGCTGTTTTGTTGTACTGGTGGCCCCGTTCCCATCCGTTGCCGCCCGATTTCTATCGGACAATAAACTCGTTTGTTGGCCTGGTGGCCGTTCCCGTCCGTCGGCGCCACCCCGTTGCGCCCCCCGTGCACCCCCCCGGTTCGTACCGCAAGCTGCGCGATTACTTTGCATTGCTTTGCATCGGTTTGCGTTGGCTTGCATTGCTCTGCATCGCACTACATTGCTTTGCATCGCTTTGCATTGCTCTGCATTGCGACTTATTGCTTCGCATTGTTCTATTTCGCTTGTTCTGATGATTTGCGTTGGTTTGCATGGCTCAGACTGCGCCACATGGATTGCACAGAATGCACCACATTGATTGCACTACCTAGATTGCGCCGCATAGATTGCAAGAGGTCGCTGTCTAGGGCCCACGCTGGCTAACATTCAGACTTCGTGGGGTTCCCGACTGGACAAACAATTTTAAGCCCAACTCGGGGATATACGATGGATGGGGCGTCCATTCTCGATACGGGTGCGTCCGAATACATAACCCGCCAAGGGTGCATCTGAGGGAAAAATTGGGTGATGAATAACAAACGTACCCCTAACCTTTGGGAGGGGACTTAAATTAGGAGGGCCAGAAACATTAGGGATAGAGGGTCTTCTTTATCTGCAGATGTATCAGACCAAACCGCCCAAACGTATTATCCCAAGTGCGAAGACGGGGACTTCAGTGAGGCCGCGTCTTCATCGTGTTATTCGGGTCAGGGGCTCGTTATCCTCGATCATGGGGGAGGGCGACAGGCTCAGGGAGGGAACGTTGAGTTGGCATCTGTGACGCGACCGACCGTGCCCCCCTTCTCGCCCTGCCCTCCGCCCGTCTCCCCTCCCCTGTCCCTCCCCCCTCGCACCCTTTTTCCATATTCCGACCGACCGTGCCCCCTCCCCTCTCCCAGTCCCGTGGCCCCCCCCGGCTTATTTCGACCGACCGTGCCCCCCTTCTCTTCCTGTCCTGCGCCCCTCCCTCCCCTCCCCTTTTTCCCCCCCTCCTCATTCCGACCGGCCGTGCCCCCTGCTCTCTCCCCGTCCGGACGTCCGGGCTCCCACCATCTGTGCTGGCATGCGTGTCGAACTGTCAAAGGCTGTCCCCGTCCCGTGGCCTTTTTGCCCTCCCCCCGCCGAGCCCCCCCCCCCAGGCTTATTCCGACTGACCGCGCCCGCGCCACTCTGTCCTCCGTGCCCCCCTCCCTCTCCTGGCTTATTCCGACGACCGTGCCCCCCCGTGCCCCCGCCCCCCCCTGTCCTCCGAGGCCCCCCCCCCCCCCCCGGGCTTATTCCAAACGATCGTGCCCCCTCCCTCTGCTCGTTCCGTGCCCCCCCCCTGGCTTATTCCGACTGGCCGTGCCCCTCTTTTCTTTCTGCCCTTCGCCCGTCTCCCCTCCTTTTCCTTATTACGACAGACCGTGCCCCCTCCCCTCTCCCTGTCCCGTGCCCCCCGCTGGCTTATTTGGACCGACCGTGCCCCCCTCCCCTCCCTGT